TATCATCCTCCTTGTCGCCATACACATGGTATCTTAGGAAGCCGAGGGCGGTCATCTTGTATTTGGTGATATAGTCCTTCAAGCTCCTCGGCCCCCCTTCCAGGAATGCCTCCACCTGAGCGTCCAGGATAGAACTCCTCGGCGGGTCATGCAGATTGAACCTTCCGGTATGGTCGAGAGAGGGGAACTCAGTGCCATTCTCACCAAGGGATACAAAAACGAACTTGCTCTTCCATCCATGAATGGACGAAGGCAAGTCCGTAAAGCTCCTCTTCTTCGGCAGCTGTTGAAGAGTAGCATAGGCCGCACAGTTTTTGTGACTTCCTCGACCGATCTGATACAGATTCATGAACAGAGCCGTCGTCGGCCTGTAGCCCAGCTCCTCACAGCGGAGCAAGAACCCCACCATCAGCGAGTAGCTGTTCGGCGTCAGCAAGGCCGGAAGGGAGCCCCACCATGTCAAGGTATTCGGTGATGAAGGGATGAAGGGGAAACCTCAGCCCCTTGGCAAAACTCATCGGGTATACTCCAAAGTATCCCGGTGGCGGAAGAAGAACATGGTCCGTCGGCCTGGGTGCCCTAACCCGCCCGTACGGCCCCACGTACATCTGGGCGACCAAATAGTCAGCCGCGCTGCTCTCCGGCTTGATCAGGAAGATGTTTGTGAGATCCAGGTAGGAGATGCCCGGCCCACTCTTCGGCCTCCTTATTCTATTCGACTTATCTGCTCCCTTCACGGCAGACACCGGTCTCGGACATGGAATGACATCGGAAGTGGACGCCCCGTCCACCACTCGGGACGCACCTGCGTCCTCACCTTTTGAAGACGAGGCGGACTCCTCGTCCTCGACTTCGTCGTCCACCGGCTCTCCGGACTTGTAAGGACTTAAGTGTTGTATCTCCTCCTCGAACTCCTCGAGCACCTCATAGTCGAGTGACCTAGTGGAGGGCTGGTCGTCGTACGGATAGTAGTCTTCGTTCAAGCTCTTCATAACAACTACTACGAGCCTGAGGGGAATAACTTAGGATCTAAGGGTGTTCAAGCGCCTAACACTAGATCACTAGCCTAGGAAGCAAAGTATGCAAAGTACAGAAGATTGCGATGAACACTAACCTTGAACAAGAAGAACACGAAGAACAAGCTTGGGAGTTTATCTCTCTAGAAATTTGGCCAGCACTTCGACAACTCAGAATGCAAATGAGTTTTCTCGTCGGAGGGGGAGGGGTATTTATAGAACCCCCCACCCAACGGTCACTACACGTGGCACCCTCCCAATGGCCACATCAACGGCCACCAATGGGAGGCCACCACGTCACCAACGGGCCAAGCTACATATCAAGAGCCCACTAGCGAATCAGACTCTACGGCCTACACACTGGCCGGCTCCACAAGTGCCAGCAAGCGCCCACAACGGCCTATTTGCTTGCCAAGTTCACAAATGCCAACAATAAGGAGATGACAACGGCCAGGAATGTCATGAACGCCCATCGGCTCCCCGTAACGACCCTTGATGATAACTCTCTACAAGCGATCTGCGCACAAGGGTTCTCCCACAGGGTTACCTTGGCCAGAAAATCGCCATGAGGGTTGGATTCAGGGGGACTACGGAGAGGCCGCTTCGGCCAGGGACTCAAGCAACTCCTTCACCCCTCACTCTCTTCGGCCTGAAGCAGTGGGGGACTCGGGGACTACACCGGCCTCAACAAAACAAAAGGAAAAATGCAAACACAAATGTAACCATGAAGCATGGCCACATCGTCCATGTATCACACTGCGCCTCGTCGGCCAAAGGAACATAATATCATCAGCAAACGGCCAACAGGCCACCTAAGGCAAGGACATTCATCATCCTCCGCCAACAGTTAATCATAATGGGCTCTTCGGCCAAGAACACGAAAGCCAATCAGCGACGGCCAAAAGGAGTGCGCAAGCACCCTCATCGGCCACCCAAAGGAAAGGACGCCATCGTCCTCGAAGCAAGGATCAACCTCAACGGCCTCATCGGCCCAAATGTAAACTTCAACCATCAACGCCCAAGAAAGGGAAAGCGCGCCTTCAACGACCACCATTGAAGCAGGACACTCATCGTCCCCAAACGAACACATCAAGTAAACAACGCCCTCCCCGTCCACAACGAGGAGCAGGTAACGGTCAAAACACAGAACAGGATCACCAAAATGGAAACAGCGCCAACGCCGCAACAGCTAACGGCCTGGGAATGCCCGCATCGGCCAAAAGCACTAAAGCACGGGAATCTACTCTCCTTCACTTCGTCTACGTCTCAGTTTAGAGAGTGGGGGACTCCTGATGGAGTATATGGGTCTGAGCCCCTGGACCCACATACTCAGAAGAACAGAAAGCACAAGACACTGAGTGGCGCCCTCGTCGGCCAAGGGACCCCGTCGACCGAAAAGGTGCCAACTCAGATTATGGTCCTGAGCCCAAGGAACCCGGGTGCCCTCGTCGGCCACGCCCTCGTCGGCCACGCCCTCGTCGGCCACGAAGACTTCACAGAACCGGATTTTATACTTACTCATTTGTACAGCCCATTAGTGGCTTTGTATTCGGCCCAGTAGCGGTCCAATTGTAAATGGGCCTCCCAAGCCCAAGGCTTGGGAGTCCAGCCCGTATTTTCTCTATAAATACTCCCCTTGGGAGTAGTTATAGGGGTTACAAAATCATTCTATTGAAGCATATTATTGCACTTCTCTCTCTAGCTCTCACTTCTCTCTAGATATACTCTATCAGTTTCCAAAAAAAATATGTGTTTTGGCAAAAAATATATTTTAAAAATAATTTTATGGACTTAATATTAAAAAAAATATATTCATCATTTATGTTAACCCTTGCTATTAAATAAAAAAAAATCATTTTTTTTACAAAATCAAAATGAGTTTTTGGCCAAAAAATGATACTTGGCAAAAAAAAAGATAAAAAAATATTTTTATGTCCTTAATATTAAAAACAAAACATATAAACTATTTAAATAAAGTAATTGAGCAATTAGACTCCTTGTTTTCATTAAAATCAATGTTTTATTTCTTATAATTCGTATTAAACAAGTTACATTTCAACTTGCTTGTTGTTACATTTCTTATTAGTGTGAGTTACATTTTGTTACACGCGAGTTACACTTATTCCGCTACTGGGACAATGAAAAAACAAAAATGAAGTTACTGTTCACGCGCGTGAACAGTAACACGCTTTTTTTTTTCTGTGGGAGCACCATGCTCACCGTGGGCTGCTCCCACGGTATACGACCTACTATCCTACTTAGAGCTCTATATTATACTCTATCTCTGAAGTCCAATATCTCCTTCAATTCATCTATCATTCTATCTACAAAAATTTATTACGATTATTCTTCATTTATTCTTTCACTATGAACTCACCTTTGATGATCTTAATCTGATTATAGTAATTAGTGTGTAATATTGTGCAACAACTGTGTGTGTCATATTAATACTACATGCATTACTTTTTCTTAGCTCGGTGTTAAACCACAAAACGGTAAAGGTTCTAATAAGTAGGGGCCAAGGAACACCAGTTACACCCTTCCAATTTATGATGACATTACTTATATTATTTTCTTTGTAATACTATTATAACATTTATATATTCATTATTTGAATTTGAATTGTTACTTATTTTAATTTTAATGTTATTACTAATTGCATTATCTTTTTGGGGATGAATGTAAGTGCAAAAATATCCTATAAAAGTAATACCGTACGGTGTACAACCTCCATCCCACAATGTTTGAGAAAGAGGGTGTGACACAACTTTTAAGAAAAAGTGGAATTATATAGTTGACACTGAGACACTGAGTTGATAAAATGTGAATAAAGTAAGAATGAATTGTAACCTCCCAATTATTTCCAAATATGATACCGGACAAACTTAATAAGATGGACGAAAAAAAGTAAAACGAGACAAAGTTGGAGAGATGGAGGGAGTATAAAAAAGAATCAAAGAAATTTATCTAAGCTAGTCTAAACTAACTTAAAAATAGAATCCAACAACTCACACACCCCCAGGCCCCAACCCCCAGTCTTGTACATCAACAAAAAATGGGATTCACAAAGTCCAAAACCCACCTTCGGCCCAATCATGCAAGCCTAAGCAAGAAACCACTCAAGGTCATCACTCATCAGGCAGTAGCATGAGAATGGATCACAAAAACAGGACCCCAGATCTGGACCACTTAAGGCCCATCAGTAGGCCCATCAGTAGGCCCATTGCAGAGTCTCCTCTCCCAACCAGCCCATTGAACTAATTGCATTATTATGTTAGGCCTTATGTTATACATACGTCTAATATGTTATAGTAGTGATTAGAGTGTAAAATACGAAGCATTGCACAACTTTTATAATAGTGAATAGACGTTTTTTCTTATTAATGTTAATAAAAATGTAAAACAATTGAGATTGGTTATAATATAATGGTATCCGTAACATTATAAGAACATCTCCAATAAGGATGTGAGTTACACCCCATCAAAATGAACATGCCATTCATATAAACAGCTTGTGAGCCTGATTTGGACGGACAAACTACTATAATCATATTTCATCTCCAATGGGTTCTTATATTCGATTGATAAAAACATTTAATTTGATTATTACTCTATATTTACATACGCACTGCACCACCAGGCTTGGGAAAAGAAAGGTAAAACAAGAGTGTCGGGTTTTGTTGGACTTGCGGCAAAAACATTTAATCGAATAAATGTTTTGCTGAGTTGGCTCATTTTTTATGATTGAAAGTTCACTCATTTTTTTCATTCTACTTCAGCAGTTCAGCGCCACAATCAATATCCATATTTCCATTGGAGAGATTAATTTTGTGTCAATATGATCAATTCACATTTAATTAGAGATGCTCTAAAAAGAATACACAACTTTTATGAAAGTGCAAACCATTTCATTTTAACACAACTTTTATGAAAGTGCAAACGATTTCATTTTGACACAACTTTATTGTTCAATTTTATTAGCGCGCACTATTTTAATACGGAGTACATTTTTAAACGTATTTATCATTTTAAAAAGATCAACTTATAAATGTAAATGCATATATTATTTGATACATTAATCATTTCAATGTAAAAATTAAAGAATGAAATGAGTCCACCGCAAACCAAGAATCAGCACAAAAGAGGGCAGGCAAACCAGGACCAGCCAATATGAGTCACCCCACTTTTACCAGTATTAAAGTTGCAGGGAGATTATTTCACACTGATGTTTGCACTCTTTCCATCTTAGGATGAGTTGTGTTGTACATTCCTTAATGTTAAAGATGTACAACAAGAATCACTTCATTCAAAAAATTCTCTTTCACAGGGAGTAGGACTTGGCTTTTTCTGAAATACAAAATGGCACTAGCATCCCCAAAGCCCGATACCTAATTTAACCACAACTGCGATGAACATATATCCTATTCCATTCCATCCCTAAGCAAATACTACACCTAGGAGTACATTGGCTCATCCATTACCATGCTTCTGGATCGGCTTTAGAGACTGAAGCACTCTCCTTCAGCAAGGCATCTAATTTAAGTTCCAATTTTAGCGTGAAGATAAAATTGTTAAATAGAAGAATATATGGTACAATCAACAACAAAAGATTAAAGAATACATAAGATTTGCACCAACATGAAAATTATGCAAATATCTGCTGAATGACCATCTCCGCATTTCCATCGTACTGTGCAAGGAGATGAATTGCATCTGCTCTTGGCAATGCTAGAAATTCCTGCAAACGTGTTACCATGTCAGTAAGACTGAACCGGGACCTCTCAACTAGGCCAATCACACGTATGCCCCTCACAACTCACAAGCAAAACATTAAAAACACATACACAGTTAAAAGAGAGCACATGACTCAAACTGAATTTTAGCAACATGTGAGATCGTAAGTCTTTATCCAGTTAATATCCAATTTCTAAGCATTGCTAATCTACTATCCAGTTGGTCCATCATTTCTTTTTACTCAGTATAGTCATTGGTCACATTTGCCACTTAGTAAGAAGGGCCTTTTTTTCAGACCAAGTGGTTTCCTGCCTTGAACAGCATACAGGTGTGCTTTACAACGTATCTGGTTCACTGGTTGCAACAAAAAATATCTTTCAAAAATAGGCACTAAGTGGGAACGAAGAAGGAAGGCTGTAAACACCCTTTTTAATTAGTCATTAATTGATTCAAAATCAACAAACTGTGTCTTGAACAGAAAAGGCAATTACGAGTCACTATTAGAATCAGTTTATAGTAAGCACTTCATATAAGACAAAACTGAACCTGTTCCCCACTGTTTTGGAAAAAATCATCTAAACAGTTTAGGAAGACTCACCATAACTTTTAGTATCGCTGTTTCATCACATTCCATATCCTTGGTAGATGATTGTATAGGGCTGCTACCATCTTCCTGCATCCTGTTAGTAGAGGATGCAGTAAATTGAGATGACCCATGAGTCGCCAAGTCAACATCTGACTTGGGATTTGCAGTTATGAGCAAGTGGTCGCTGAGATCTTTAAGTGAATCAATCTTCAGAAGACCTTCAAACCGATCTTTACACATTTGGAGTTTGAACCATTCCTTGTGTGTATAGAGTGTTGCTTTCAGAATCTTCATAAGATGAGGTTGTTCAATACCAAGCCTCTTTCCAGTAGCGACCTTTATAGAATCAGAACATCAGTGATAGTAAATGTCCCAGAGTATGGCACCACTCTTGTATAAATTGATGATCGCTAAGTATTAAAATTGAAATAAACAATTCCTTCATTATCCCATTGGTATCGCTTATTTAGGATGTTTTTACTTGGTACAGTCCCATACCAAACTTACCAAACTTACCAGACCAGACTTAAACAGACCATACCAGACCAGCAAATTACAGTCCTAGTAAAAACATCCTTAATCCTCTACCATCCTACTGACTCTTGATCCAGTCAAACCATGATGTGTCTACAGTTACGGCGTCACCATGTGTCGCCTCATCGATGACATGGCGCCTGAACGACGCCATAGCCGCTCCATGACGCCATGTCTTGTTCATCGCCCGCATCTCGCTCGTCGCCATCGGTCGTCAGCATCCGGAGCATCTCATTTGTTTTTATTTTTCCGCCTTCTCAGTTCTTTTTGTTTACTACAGGGTTCTTTTATTTTACATGAGGAATTTGCATTTTTTTCCTGCAGCATTTTTATGATATTTCTGAATTTAGTTTTATATTCCATATAAAAATTATATGGAATACATGAATTTTTTTTATAAAATAGGATATAAAATACAGAAGAGTTTTAGTAAAAAAACTCTTATTTGGGGGAACAATTGTGTAGGAGGAAGAAAAAAGAAAAAAACTTATGTAAAGAAAAAAGAAAAAAACTTATGTAATTTTTCAACTCCGAAAACTCTTCTATTTAAATCCTATAAATTAAAAAAAAAAAAACTTTCTGTATTTTATAAAAAGTACTATCGTATGTTAGTGATTTCATAAATTTTCTTTTCCAGTCATATCTAGAAAGAAATCAAATTATGATGTCTTATTTGGGGAACAATTGTGTAGGAGGAAGAAAAAAGAAAATAAAACACAATAAATTCCATCATTCCACCATTTATTCCATTTAAAACAAATTTAAACTTTAATTTTGATTTATTTTCTTAAAATAAATTAGCTTTCTATTCTTTGTATTAGTCATTAGTAATTCATCATCATCATTATCATTACCCCAGTGCCGCAAAGGCTCCCACCTACAGTGGGGTAAGGGGGGGTCAGATGTACGATACCCCTGTACTAAAGCACAGAGAGACTGTTTCCGGATGGCCCATACTTAAAATTGAGTCAAAAATTGCATGGACTGACTGTTGCTTCATAACAAAGAAGCGTAAACAGTTTAGTGAGCCCATTTGTTTTATTCCATCATATTCCCAAGCCAAAAAATAATGAGTTTTTGGCTCCATTGCAAATGATGGAATTATTAGTCATTAGTAATTACTATTAGTAATTGATAAGTCTTTTGTCTTATGATTAGTTAGTTATGATCTTATGGATTATGTTGTTTCTATGATTAGATGCTTTACTCCTTCAATTGTGATGTCTAATTTGAGTAGTGTTTGCTATAAGTGGTGTATGTAGTATATAAAACATATTATGCATTAATTATTGTACTTATGTGAACGTATCGCCGCAATGTTGCCACAGTGGGGAGCATATCGCCAGGCGCCAGGCGGTATAGCGGTCTGAATGTCCGATGGCGCCGCGCCGTGAAACCCCGCCATAACAACTATGGATGTGTCTCTATTTATTATGTCCAATAATTGTAATATTCATCTGTGTCCCCAGTAGCAGCAGCATTTTTTGTATGTCCTACGCTGCTTTTACACAGATCCCTCTTAGCATGCCATTCACTCATATGACTACATAGTAAATACATGAACTAAAGGTAATGTTTCATCCAATATGTCGGAAGTAATTTACTACTACCAAACTATATAATGTAACGCAGCAAGAGTCCAAGCCCCCACAACAACAACCAAGCCTTGGTCCCAAAAGATTTTGGGGAAGAGTCAAAGCCTCCGTGCAAAAAAAAACAAATTGTTTGGAGACTCTAAAACGTCTCCAACTGATGCTAGATCTGGAGTGGGTGTAAATAAGAGTTGGATCCTCCAAAGGATCCAACCAAAGACATATGTCACACCAAATTTGGAACTACAAATGATAGCACAGTATATATGGTTGTGCTACTGTAGTTGCACCAAAAATTGCATAACACATTTTTATTTTCAAAAATACAGGATTTAGTTTGGCAATTTGTCTCTTCTTCGATTGTTCATTATTATACTAGCGAAACAATATCTGTTGTCTTTATAAGAACAATGCCTCTTCGATTTCAGTTTTAAATGCGTTTGCATATTAATTTGTTAAAATAGAATTCATCATTGACATATAATTGAACTAATAAAAATTATATTTAAGTAAAAATGGTGCAGCAATTGGTATAGAATTGAAGTAACAAACTAGTGATGCGCCAATGTAGGATTGAAGTATCAAATTTAGTGGAAGTTGCATGATGTTTTGTTTTTAGGGTTCGAGATGCCCTAAAAGAGAACTATAGATAAACAGGATATTTTACTTCATGAATTCTAGTACTCAACCTACCTGTAGTGATGTTGCAAGTCCAAACAGCGGAGACCTTTCACTAAATACCACTTCATTAGGTTTCATCAATGTCAATAAAGTATCCTTTAACGGCTTCAACAGATGAGTATTACTAGCTGCCAAAGGACCCAAATAGGAGCAGGCTACTTTTAATGCACCAGAGTGATCACCAGAACTAACAACCTTCAAAAACTCAACCTACAACCAGCATAATCATCATCAGTTCACCCGCCAAAAATAAAAGAGGCAAATGAGATTTCTGTTTTTGATGTCCTTTTACTATGTGTTCGGAGAATTCCACTCTGAATACATACACAATATTACATGCACATAAGTGTGTGTTTGCATGTACACGAATGTCTATAAACATCTCTACTCTCTTGTTTATCAAAAAAGTTAAGGTTATACAAACCTGCTTAATCTGAAAAAGCAAGGTTGGGTTCTGTGCAAAAAAAGTTGGGTCTATAGCATTAATTTCATCAACCACCTCTGCAGTCATTCCTTTGGTTGCTAGCTCCTTAATGCCCAGTAAAGTTTCATATTTGTCCTCTCGACTGCATCTAAAGTTTACTGGGGCTAGCTTTCGGGAAGCCTGAAGATCAGATTCACCAAAAGAGTTTATATAAATATAATTACAACCAATACATGCATGTCGTATTATCTTAGAGCACTTGTTCTGGCACCCAAGGTTCTAGAAGTAACCTCTTCTCTGCCTCTTTCAGATGTAGCTTCGGACATATACTCTAGTTTCTCATCTCTCCCCATCCACCGCTTACGTTTATTCCTTTCAACAGTTCTATGAATTCTATGTGGAACTTTTCCATCGACATGTGTCCCACTGGTGCTGCAGTCTTCATGTTTATTTGTCTCACAAAAGAAACGCTCTTCAATATCAGTACTTTGCGTACTCACAGTAACAATACTGTTATTAGGTGAGGTTTCCCTGTGAACGTCAGTAAGAGATGCTTCACTATCAGAAACTGTGCAGTTTCTAGGGCCAACTTCAAGTGAAGAGTTCACTGATAAGCATCCAGACACTGATTGATCATCATTCACAGCTATGGAAACACCTTGAATTTCAGATGCTGAATAAAGTACCAAACCAGATTTAGAGTCACTAAATGCGTATAAATTTTATAAAGAGAACTGAAACAAATGGAAAATTTATTACCAGAAGGCGATGCTACACCGAAGTCCACAAAACCTCTATAAATGCAATACTCGTGTACAAGTTCATCAAGCACAGAAACATCCATTCTTGTACGACATAATTCATTCTGCAAAAAGAAGTTAAACTGCTCCATAAAATATGTAAATGCCTTAATGCTTCAATACGCACAGCTGCACTTTATTATGGGAGCTATCTGATTGGCTCATCAATATGTTTAATACATTAAGCATCAGACAACGCATATAACTTAAAAAGTAAAATATGTTAATTGATACGTCTTGGAAATCCATCTAGGAGCTATTAGCACAACTTCATTGTTAATCATTTGATAAAAGTACTTTGTCCACAATACATACCTGAAATGCTTGAAATATGTCACCTCTAGCAACCCTCAGGCTATCGACTGCTCCTTGCCTTGTAATTTCAACAGCATGAGCAAGGGCTTGTATATCCACCTAGGTTCAAAATGAAACATGTTTACTGGAATGGAAACCTTTTATTGTAGGTGTGCTGGTGGGCTGGTAGGCTGGTGGTGGGGGTGGTTGGGGAATATAAGATAATTTCAAAACAAATCTACACAACACTCTATTGATTAGAAACTGGTGAGCACACTATGCACTTAAGAGTATTACACATTACAATCATATTAAAATCGTAACATCCATAAATATTTACCTCATCAAAAGGAGGTGCTTCAGATAAACTCTCTAGAGGTGTTGCAGGGGGGTCTCGATCCTCAAGAAGCAATCTCTCTGTAAGATCTGAAATAGGTGATGAAATACCTTGTCGAGAGCAAAAGTTCTTATGTATGCTGCAGGGAGTTAATAGAATTCATTAAAATGGTGTAAGGCATTCTTTTTTTATCTATTTAACATTTTAATCAATAGATCAAAATTCATGTCAATATTTCAGCAAGTACAACTACTTGTCTAAAATACACCCGATGGATTAAATGGACGCAAGTGCATGCTGCATAAATCTGAAAATCAGTTACCTTATCAAGTATCTCAATGTCATTGCGAACAGCGGGTCATATGCATGCAAATGTGTCCTCAATAGTGAGCAAAGCAGCCCGGCAATATCAAACCTCCTCTTCTCTGACCACTAAAAGCAAAAGGAGTAATCGGTAATGTTTTAGAGATTTAACAAGTAGTTAGTGCTATATTATTCCAATCTCGTTCCACCTTTCTGCCATGAGGAAGGGTAACATAGAGAAATGCTAAAGGAAACTAATGATAGTGCAATACTGGGTAAGTATAAAAAGTGGCACAACAAAGAAGAAGATATTTACTACTCACCTCATGAGCGATAGGAGAACTATTATCATTTCTATCATAAACCAGTGCAAGAAGAACGTGCTTAAATTCCTCATATGCTTCCTACAAAAAATTGACCATTTATGAACCACATGTATCCACTTCACATTCTCAAGGTTCTTAGAACAACTAAACATTTCCAAAATCCTAAGAGAAGGCATGAATACACCTCCAACAATTTCAGCTTTGCTTACATACCAAGGGGAATGAAATTATGAAAACCCAGCCGTCTTTGGAAACAGACATTAAACATGTTGTAGGAAACCTATTTGACAAATTAGACATTCAACATGTCTTTCCATCATTTGCAATGGAGCCAAAGATTCATTATTTTTTGGCTTGAGATTATGATGGAATAAAGCAAAATGGCTCAGTAAACTGTCTGCGCTTCTTTGTAATGAAGCACCAGTCAGTCCATGCAATTTTGGACGCGATTTTCACTATGGGTCATCCGGAAACAGTCTCTCTGTGCTTTAGTATAGGGGTAAGACTGCGTACATCCGACCCCCCTTACCCCACCGTAGGTGGGAGCCTTTGCGGCACCTGGGTAAATGAAAATGATGAAATGATGAGACATTCATCATGTCGCTTGTGACATTGCAAGTTGTTAAGGGAGGAAAGCATAACTACGATACGTAGTACTGGGGTAGTATGAAAAGGAAATGTGTTCATGCCTCTACCAAATTCCAACTAGATTAGAAGGCTGAAAAGTGAAGATCAAAATGCGACAAAACCATTTGTTTATATGAAGAAACAAAATTGATAATATGTAAATAAATGCATAGGAACGACATGCATCACAAGCTCATGAAAATAAAAATAGATCATGAATTGGTAATTGGTTTGCAATCTATTCTTTATTATGATCCTGAAACAAAATTAAAATTGAACCTAAACTGTATTACAAACGGACTGAGATATTTTCGTGTCAGCTGCAAAACAGAACAACTTCTACATTAAATATTATATTCATGATTTCAGGAAAGAGGACAGAAAAATGTGACCCACAGGGTAAGCATCCAGTGCAGAAGGAGCTAGAGTTGTCCGCAGGCATTTCATAGCAGATTCACGATCCTCCTCTGTGCCTTTTCTTAGAAGCTCAATGAATTTCTGGTCATGCACAGGAACAAATACACTTAGTTCAGTGCTTAAAATCAAACTTAAGTCAAGGTAAGGCCCGATAAAAAAAATAAATCATAAGATGCTACTCTAAAAATCACAAAAATTGAAGTTCATTGGATACAGAACCAGACGTTTTTAACTTCCAAAACCACAGCTCTTGGTTTCATCTACTTTCTTACCCTTATCAAACATTATGCAACGCCTTCCGATTACCCTGCCACCCACCCCCCTCAAAAGCAGAAATATAAGCACTTAAACGGTTGAAAAGAAAACGGGTCAATCAGCCGCCTATCCCGAGTAAAAGGTTCCCAATTGGGATTATGGAATGGAATAAAACTCCAATTTCAACACAGGTGCTGATATATTACCTGCTTCTGTAAGCGGAAAAGAAGGCGGTGATCATCGAGAAGGGATGGCGCATAAAGACGCAGGAGATCAATGGCAGCATCTACGTCTCCGGACTCCATAGAACGTCTAATTTGTCGAATAAGAAGCCGCGAGTGGAAGGACGAGGAAGACGGCGAGGAGGGCGAAGTTGACAGCGACAACGGAGGTGAAAGCGGAGCGGCTGAGTCATCAATGAGGTTTTCGGATTTGGCGAAATCGAATATCAGACTGTCTAGTGCTTCCCAATTCACCGGCATGGAATCCATTGCGACGCACCTTTTTGTTTTTCGCGGAAAGCTGTGACGCTGTGTTCAGTTGCGGGCTTGCAGGTGGATGAGGAAGCGAGAGGCGGCCATCTTTTGTTTGTTATTTTGGTTTTTTTACTAAGGTAGAATGTTTTGTGACTACATAACCCCACTTTTAGAGATGGTTCATTTATTAAAACATTATTATATTTAAAATCTTTTGTAATAATAAAATAAAGAAAAAATTATATTAGAAAATAGCTGAAATAATTCTTTGCAGTAACTTCAGCTAATACAGTCAAAAAAGTAACTCCAACCTTACTTGTTTTTATTATTACACAATTTAGCGCGCAAAATTAAAAGTTACGTGTTTGATGAAAATATGGTTTATAAGTTGAAAACCAAGGTCACCAAACGGGCACTCAAACTAACACCCATCATCTCGTCCACTATTCTCATGGTCAACTTAATTCATTTTCAATCTTTTACTTTATAAATTAAATTTTTACCAAATTTACATTTTTTTATCAGGCTTTGCAGCAGTTTTAATATAGTTTCTGAATATGTTAATTTTATTTACTAAAAACAGTCAGAGTGTGAACAAGGATTAAGTTGTTTTATCGTCAGTCAAGCATCGTAAATCGTTCACGGGAACCTTCTAGCGGGACGGAGGAGGGAGTAATATTGTTAGAAAAAATAAGTACATGGAAATGATATAAATTGTTGATTGCTTGTCACTCACATGGTTTCACGATACCTTTATTCAGGTGAGCTCATGAAGAGAATTTTAGAGGTACTCGAACAACTCTACAAAGATAAACAAAAATGAAATTCGTCAAATTAGATCGAGACATTGTAAAAATATCAAGTTACAAATTGTGTTTAAATTATTGGCTGCCCTTAGAGCTTGAGGCTTTTCATCCCATTTAGACTTTAAGGGTAAAAATATCTAGGATTTACCCATGATTCGTGGTGCTTGCATGGCGGAGCCAGCATGTAGTGACGGAGGTAAAGCGATGGCTGCGGCGGAGGTCTGCCATCGCTAGTTGCAGCGGTCCAACATTGAAGTGGATGTCCTTGATGTGTTGTAGAAGATATTTTTGTGCACTCACAACTTTTTCTCGTATTTTGAAAATTTTAACCATTTTTTCCTTTTGTGATTATTTTATTACTCCTAATTTAGGAACTTGCGGATAAACAAGAAAAATAGTTGCTTGTATATGAAGTAGTCAAAAACATGAACACACCTCACTCTAGATTTCACAAAAATAGTGGCATTTGTGAGATAAAAAGAATCCAGGATATGCCATTACTCATATACTATGAGCCCGTTTGGTAATACTAAAATTGGCTGAATTGGCTGATTCTGCTGAAATTTATGAAGTTCTGGCTGAAGTGGCTGTATTGGTTGATTCTGCTGATTCATGAAAAAATTATATTTTAAATATTTGTTATCAATAAATTAAATAAAAAATTATATGAAAAATAGCTAAAATGATCCTCTACAGCAACTTCAGCCAAAACAGCCAGAAAAGTAACTCCAACCTTATTTTTTCTGCTTGTTACAAACTTCAACGCGCGAAGTCAAAAATTACGTGTTTGGTGAAAAAGATGGTTGATAAGTCTGATAAGCCGAAAAAAAAGGTCACCAAACGGGCTCTATGAGAGTGTTTGGAAAATGACGTTTAAGCAAAAATAATACATGATCATGGTGCTAAAATAACTTTGTATATAAAGTTTGGGGTATTTAAATTACATATGCAAGTTTGGGATGCTTATCTCACAGTCCATCAAAGTTTGGGGTATTTTAATTATTTTTCCCAAACAGGTATCATAGAATCCAATTGTCAAAATGGGTTGAATATGTGGGACTTAATTAATGCCATTGTCAAATGTGTTGAATATGTAGGACTTAATGTTGTTAAAATTAAATAATGCACTCCTATAATAACTAACAATAATGCACAACCTATCTAGATATATATAGTTATGGCATTAAAAGAAGTTTTCCTAAATTTCACAATAACATAGAACCGTGCACTAAATATGAATTTCTTTATTTTTTGTGAATAAGACTCTTCTACACCTTGAATTTTTTCTTATTTAAAAATTTCTACTTGAATTTTATTCTTTTAATATGAATAAATAAGATTTAATTTAAAAATAAAACATACGTAGTACTTTATATGGAGCACTTTATTTGGTTTTTATCAAATATACAATTTATATTGTTGGTTTTTATCACAATCACACAATTTCAATACTTAATCACATTTCTAATATTTATCTAGTGGCGGACCCACTAAGAGTCCCACGGGGTCCCGGGATCCCGTGTCCTTCCAAAAAATACCTATTGATGGAGTATATGGGTCTGAGCCCCAGGACCCACACTCGGAAGAACAGAGCACAAGACAGAGTGGCGCCCTCGTCGGCCGAGAGGAAGCCAACCCGGATCATGATCCCGAGTCCAAGGAACCCGGGTGCCCCCGTCGGCCGTGCCCTCGTCGGCCACGACCTCGTCGGCCACGAGGACCTCCCAGAATCGGATCCTACACTTACTCACTTGTACAGCCCATTAGTGGCTTTGTATTCGGCCCAGTAGCGGTCCAGTTGTAAATGGGCCTCCCAAGCCCAAGGCTTGGGAGCCCAACCCTAATTTTCTCTATAAATACTCCCCTTGGGAGTAGTTATAGGGGTTACGAAATCATTCTATTGAAGCATATTATTGCACTTCTCTCTCTAGCTCTCACTTCTCTCTAGATATACTCTATCATTTGGTGCTCTCGTTGAGAGCTAGAACAATCAAGTTAGCACCCTTCGTCGCTACCAAGCACAGCTAACCACTGATCATGGGGAGAACTAAGTCAAACCGCAACCTCGTCAGCAAAGCCATCCCTGAGGACCAAGAGCCCAGGGAGCACGATGAGGACGCCACGGCCGACCAGGTCGGCGGAGGGGACCTCTTCCAGGAAGCCTTCAACCTCACGACGGACCTCCGCAACCAACTCAACGGCGGAGTCCCCGACGCCCGCCTCGGCCTGGAAAAGAAACGAGCTGAGAAAGCGGACCACGCCCCGGCCCAGCCTATGGCCGCGGCCTCTCCGTCCGTAGATCCTCAGGTCCAGGCCGCACTATCGGCTATCATCGCCATCTTGGCTCAGAATCCCACCGTCCTCAGCGCACTCTTGCCAAGGACCGGGGGAAACGTCACTCCACCTCCTCATCCCCAACCCCTGGCCGACCAGATAGGCAACAATGAGGGGGTTGTGGCCCAGGACACGGCGTCGTCCCACTCCCACCCTGCTTCCCCTCTTCGGCCCGGGCAGACCCCAGCGCGTGGAAAAGCCTCTGCCTTCAATAGGCTAGGTGACACGCGCCGTCGTCCGGTTTCGGAGAGGATGGCGGGACGGATTGGTGATCCTCGTCCTGGCTCGCCAAGGGAGAGTTTGGGGTCTGTGTCCCGGACAGCGGACCAGCCCCGCCCGGACAAGGGCAAGGGGAAGTTGCACGAGGATGACGTGCGTCACCAGATCAACGCGGCTCACAACGAGCGCCGGAGGAACCAGCCGGGTGCCGTCGCGGCCGACAGGGACCCCCGGGACGAGGTCATCGCCCAGCTGGAAAGGAGGTTGGCTCAGATGGAGGCCAAGCAGTCGGCCAACGTCCCTACGGCCGGCGCCTCCAACGACCCCGGCCTCAACGCGCTCATGAACAAAGTCAGCGCCCTGGAGAGGGAGCTGGCCGAAGGGCGGGGTGACCCCATCATCCAGGTCAGGACTAGGACCCCTTTCACCAACAGGGTCCTCTCGGCCCCCATCCCTGAGAAGTACGGGGAACGCCATCAAGTCCTGCGATGGCCGATCAGACCCCCAGGAGCACTTCAGCCGTTATCAAAACAACATGCTGATGGTGAACGCGTCCGACGAATACCTCTGCCGTTGGTTCCTCTCTACTCTCGAGGGGCCAGCGTACGAGTGGTTCAACGGGCTGCCAGAGGGAAGCATTGACTCATGGCAAGATCTCGCCCAGCGCTTCCTCACTCACTTTGCTGGGAGGAAGCGCGCCAAGAAGTATTTCACCCACCTCCTCTCCGTCAAACAGCAGCACGAGGAGTCCCTCCGGTCATTCATCGACCGGTGGACGAGGGAGACCGAGGAGGTCGAGGGGGCCGATGAGCGCACCCTCCTCGCCTTGTACCAGGGAGCCCTCCGCAGCTCCCCGTACGCCAGGAGCCTCATCACTGACCCCCCGAGGTCGTATGCCAAGGCGCTCCAACGCGGAGGCTTGTATGCCGACGCCGACGAGCTCCACAATCACAAGAGAGAGGGGGGCCATCCCCCCAAGAAGACAAATCCTTCGCCGGCCTCGGGTCCGTCCCCGGCCGGCCAGGGTGCCCAGGGCCACCACGGCTCTGGTGGACAAAGTAAGAAAGACCGCCACTGGCGGCCGAGGCTGGAACGGCCGGGGGTAGCCCTCACCCACCCGGTCGGCACCATCCTCGATTATGCCGAGAAGCACGGCCTCATCGAGCAGGCTCCTCGGCCGGCCGAGGAGGTCCTGGCCATCCAACAGGGCGGCACGTATTGCCGGTTCCACAAGAACTCGTCGCACAACACCGACGATTGCATCACATTAAAGAAGGCCATCGAGCGTCTTATTCGCCAGGGGGAACTCTCCCAGTTTGTCAAAGGTGGCCCACGTAAAAACACTTGGGTAAACACCGGCAAACGTGGGGGCGAACCCTCTGCGAAGAAGCGCGAGATTGGTAGACTCAGCGACGACGAGGACTTCGAGGAGCCTCCGCCGAAGAAGAATCACATCCACCTCATCGTGGGCGGGAACACTGGGGGGGACTCCGCCACTCAGAGGAAGAAATGGGCCCAATCCCTTTACATTGGAGAGGTGTCCCACGTTCCCCCCCAGCCGAAGAAGCAGCGAACGGAGGCGATCACCTTCACCAACAAGGACCTGCCTCCGGGTACGGAGTCACACAGGGACGCCCTCGTCATCCGATGTGAGATCGGTGACTCCATCATCCACCGCACTTACATCGATACGGGGAACTCCGTCAACGTGATGTACCTAGACACCTTCAAGCAGCTGAAGCTGGACAGAGCTCT